TGTCTGCCCGGCGCTCGGAAGCCGAGCAGCGCGGGGGTGCCGGTTGGCCGTACACAAGCGTAACGCAGAAGGTTACAACGATTTCTTTAAGTCAACCTCCCGCTTTTTTTTAGCACCAGAACTGAATTAATCCTCTTCTCGTCCCGTACGTTAAGCGTTCTGTGGCCTCTGTTGAAGCCAGGGTGCCTCTAACAGCAGCGAGAGCCGCAGGGCGAGTGCTTCGGTTAAGCCCCGTCCTGGTACACGGACGGATCCCGACACCAGAGTTACACCGGCCTCGGCGAAGCCGGAGCAGCCCCGCAGCTCCTGGGGTGCTTTTCCCCAACTCTGGCCTGGGAGCAGCGGCAAAGCGACGGCCGAAGCGGCCTGCGGAGAACGTTAACAAGAACCGGCTCTTTCGGGCCTGCCCCGCTGCCCGCTTCTCCCGGCTGCTTTGTGGGGTGAGGTGGCCCCAAAACACAAAGTCAGACCCGGAACTGGGGAACAGCAATAGAGGTCGGCGCGTATTTCGTTACAAGGGAGAAGGGACCCAAATCGGTGTCTCGGCTCTGAGTTGCAGATGTAGGTGTGAACTTCATAGCCCACCACGAACAGCTTCGGGGGGTCGCCCTGGACGCCAGGATTTGGGCTTCCCACAACCGGCGTGGAAGATTTTGCCCGCGAAGGTGCCAGCAGCCAGCCGCAAACTTGAGCTGGCTACCGGCTCGAGGCCGAGCGCGGAGGCGAATCGCGGAGGCTGCTCGCTCGTCCCCTTCTTGTCAACACAAGACTCTTCCCCGCTCCTTATCTGTTCTTAAATGCTACAAAAATTAATCCAGCCACGATTTCTAATTAGAATGCAGAAAGGTGCGGGCCGGGCAGCAGCAGCAGCGGTGTGACTTCCCCGCAGCAGTGTTCAGTGCAGGCAGTTTTCCTACAGAGGGCAGAGGAATATCATTAATTACCATCGCCTCCAGCAGCCTCGGCGCTTTGCTGCTACCCACCAGCTTCGGATGGGGGCCTGGAGTCCTGAGAGGCACCCAGGGAGGAGACGCCTGGAGAAACCCAAACATCTCGCCCCCTTCGCAGGTAGCCCGTGACTCTCCCTGTAAAACTGTGTGGTACTGCGTACCGTGAAGACAATACACGGTTCGATTTATATAAAAACTAATGTTTGCTAAAAATGCACATTTTCACTGCAGGCAAAACCCTTGGATTTTATGCTGTCGACTATCCCAATCCTATTTCAACTTTCTGTGGTTTGTATTTATTTTATCGTGGTATGATTGACAGCTTTAATGCTCTGCATTATATATTACCTGGGCTTGCCATGGCTGCAGCAATGTGAAATTAAGCACTGCTGTCATTTTTTACTAAGACATAGTTTTATAAAACGGGAGGTGTTCTCCCCTGGCTTTGTTTCTAGTTTTTTCCCTTCGAGTTTGTAGGTATTTTGTTTCCAGAATAAAAGATGCCACGATAAACAAAGGGAGGAGCCTGGAGAAATAAATCTATAGAAAATGAAGTAGCAGAAACAAGTGCTTACCGGAACAGTTAACTTCGGAGTAAGTAACCACTCGCCAAACCAAAGAACTAGTGCCGAGACCCCCCTGCACAATTGCATTTTCAAACCTCTGCACTCTTACAGAGTGAAAAAGGGATGTTCTCCACCCTAACCTAACAAATAATAAATAGCCCTATTAATAAAGGGAGAGAGGCTTTTAGTGACGGTTAAATAAATCATACCCAATATAATTCATAAAAAATACACAGTGAGTTGCATTAGTCCTTTGGAGTCCAAAATGGGCTTCCTGAAGTCAACAGCATTTTTGCCGCTCACGCCAGCGAGATCAGGATTTCACCCGCTGAGACTAATGGGACAATTGTTCAGTATAAATCCCCAATCCAGCAATGCATTAAAATCCACGTACGTACAACTGTAAACCCGAGGGGTTCTGTCAGAGCTTATAGACCGGTTTCTTCTCTGTCCTGCATCCGTCACCTCGATCGGCGCAAAACAAATGTGACGGGGGGAAAAGCACCCTGCGCCGAGACGTACGCGTCGCACGCGCCCTCCCCTGCGCGGGTGTGCAGGGGAGAAGGGGGGAGGCCCCCACACGTGGGGACTTGCTCAGGTTACTCCAGCTCTGCTGGTCAGCACTCAAAAGGCTGCGGGAGCTGTGAATTCACAATTTTTGATAAGGAGATTCAGTCAATATAAACCGACATCAAACAGAAAATGCAGCGTATGAGAGTCGTGGATTATTAAAATGTTTCACCAACAGAGTCTCCTTCTTCACTGTTTATTCTCTCTCCTTTGCCTTTCACTTAGCAGGGTAATTAAATCAGACTCTCGGGCTCGGTTTTAATTTCTGGTTCACATGCCCTCAAACCATGCTGCTGTGGTTTGGACTCATAATCATGCGGGGGAATATTTGTACAAAAATTATATCAATACATTTTCATTTGAGACGATCATGAAGGCCTTCTTATGCATCACGATACGTTCTGTAAAACCCTCTGCCTGTTTATAAACTATAAGCAGAAGCCATCAAACTAACTGACATAATTTATTTGGCATTCTTCCTCTTAATTTTACTTTTTATTTACATGCTTATTTGCTAAAATGAAATAATACCCTAAACACAGAACAGATAAACAAGTGAATCTTGAATAGTCTGTACTACAAGAAAGCACTTGTAATTTCTCACACTCGGCTTCTTTTGCTCCCGTGTATTTGTGGAGCTTGTCACCTTTTAGGAAATTGTCAGGTTAGATGGTGGCTTTGGCAGTGAAAGACCGTATCATCCTCGTGTGTCTGTATAATTACAGGTTGTTAATACGAAGCCATTTTTCAGAGCCTTTCTTTACTTAAATCTATAAATACAGAAAGGTGTTGGAAATGCCAAGCCATTCCGACACCACCACCGAGTAATTCACCGCTCGTCTGCGTGCCCTCCTGCCTTCGGCAGCACCCGGCGCTGGGTCCCCACCTTGGTGAGCAGAGCGGCGGGGGGGAGGTGGGCTGCAGGCGCCAGTCTGCCCCGGGATCCCCATAGAGATCCGCGGGAATTACACACGCCACAGTGGCGTCTACTGAATTTAATTGAATTGCATTATCAAAAGCAGAATTTGACCCATATACAGAGGACTGCACGCTGTCCAAAAATAGCTACAAGCCGGAGCTGAGCTTATCTTTCCAACACTTTGGCTAGCAAATGGCGTTTTCCAAACCAGCCTTTTTCATTTCAGTCATAGTATTTCATTTTAAGATTTTCTTTTTAAATCAGCAACACAATTTGTCAGTGAAAAAGAGAAAAAAGAAGAGGAAAAAACTGGGGAGAAGCAGAAAAGAGCACACATAAAACCTATCCACTAAAACAAATTACATAACAGGAAATTTAGATTATGTACATAAAACCCC